TCTATATTCGTTTTGTATTATTTTTGAGTGTACAAAGTATGATGTTGAATCAATCAACTACTATGATTACCTACTTGACTTGGTTCGACTTTGTGGCTAGGCGCATTGTTATTTTATGTATAGGAAGGGGTGCCCTAGGAGGTGCCCAACAAACAATTTTAGCTGCAGACTAGCTTATGCAGGCAAAAATTAGCTGTATAAGCCAATTTTTAGCTGTGTAAGCTAATCTGCAGCTAAAATTGTTAGTTGGGTGGTGGGTCGATGATATTGGCAAATTGAATAGAAATGTAGTGATAGTTTCAATATTGGATGATAATCTTTAAAAAATGACGAAGGTTGAAATTTACAGGAAGTTAGACATAACTTTTTCTTTACCGTTCTATTTTTTTTTTATTATCTGTTACACATTCGACCTAATAATAACGAACTCTAGCAGCTATGTTTACGGTAGTTAAGGTAGTGCATTATGTACACTCACACTACTACAGCATCAATGATAATCAATTCACTGACACATAGAAAGAAGAGAGAGAAAAATGCAAAAACTACAAGGGACAGCCCTATGGGCAACCCTTGGAAACTAACGATTTTAAATTGGCCACTACTTGACTAGCCTATTGGTCTAAAAAACATATATATGCGTACTCCATTGTAGTCGAAATTCTAGTACAATACTATGTTTGTTTTGATTCGCTATGAAAGTTTGACAGATAATATGAAGGGTACGTAGATTTTCCCATGTTTCAAGAGGTGCATCGATTAGCTTGGGACCGAAGAGAGTACCAGAGCTGAGCCAAAAAGTTGAATCGTTTCTTCGGGACCTTCTGATCTTAGTGTTACCAACAATCAATACGAAACTAACGATTTTAAATTGGCTCACCACTTTAGTAGCCTATTGGTCCCAAGCAAACGATTAACGTACCCTATTCTAGTTGAAATTCTATTACTACACTATGTTTGTTTTGATTCGCTATGAAAGTTTGACAGATAACATCAGGGGTGTGTGGATTCATGCAGAACATGCAGGGGTGAGTGAAATAGCTTGGGACTGCTTGGGACCGTTGTTCTGGTACTGAGTGAGCCAAAAATAATAATTATTTTCTTCGGGACCCAGTGGTCTTAGAGTTACCTCTATGGTGTTACCTCTATGCTATAACGGTTGTCAAATAATTGCAGCACAGATAGATATAACCTGAGTACTGCGAACTCAACCGATGTATTTTTCAAGTGAGCTATAAAACATCTTGAAAATCTTGCGAAGTTTCAATTTGTTTTGCTGAAACAGCTCACGAAATTGTATATACATGCTGTCAAATGAACTCTTGGCTCCTCCTCCTCTGCTCCAGAAATAACGCATACATGGTGATGGGAGTGCACCTGCCCACAAAGCTCATATGACTCTTATAAAGTTTGATTACATTTTTGTTTCAGCAACCCAGTTTTGGCATTATTAATATCAAATAAAAACACTTTTTCGAGCATCACGCTCGATGATTTACATTATCCGCCTACTAAGGTTGATGTTTCGACAGTTTCATAATTATAATCCTTAATTTGTTTTCAGTAGGTGGCAACTTTTACATGTGGTTCAAACAGTAACTACCTACGTGACTTCTGAGCTCTTTTGAATGTTTGGCTCTCGTTTGACAGTTTGACTCGGCTCACAGATGACAAGCATTTTGAGTTAGTTCGCAGTACTCAGGATATAACCACCATCAAGATAGTGCCATAACATGTTATAACCATAGATGTAACTCTAAGACTAGAAGGTCCCGAAATAACGTGCTCAACTTTTTGGCTCAGCTCATTTTATCTGTCAAACTTTCATAGCGAATCAAAACAAACATTGCATAGTACTAGAATTTCGACTAGAATGGGGTACGTTAATCGTTTGCTTGGGACCAATAGGCTAGTCAAGTAGTGAGCCAATTTAAAATCGTTAGTTTCGTATTGATTGTTGTTATAACTCTGTAGTCTGAACGTACTATATGACAGTCTGAACATTGGAATGCTAGTTTAAACATGGTATAAGCATAGAGGTAACTTTAAGACCAGAAGGTCTTGTAAAAACGTGTTCAACTTTTTTACTCAGCTCTAGTACTATCTTCGGTCCCAAGTTGATCGATGCACCCCTCGAAACATAGGAAAATCCACGAACCCCTCATTTTATCTGTCAAACTTTCATAGCGAAACAAAACAAGCATAGTATAGTACTAGAATTTCGACTAGAATGGGGTACGTTAATCGATTTGCTTGGGACCAATGGGCTAGTCGAGCAGTGAGCCAATTTAAAATCATTAGTTTCCACCGATTGGTATAAGGGAGTTTAATTTATATTCTGTCAAGCCAAAAACTGAACCTGATATTTGCCCATGAAAGGCTCGTCAGACAAGGGTCATATCTAAACGGTTGATTTTAATGTATTTTTCAGACTACAGAGTAATAATACACTCATAAAATAACTCACATAACCAGTGGAAAATATCCATGTGAATTTCACATAACTTTCATGTGATCCCATAATTGGAAATTGCATTATTAAATCACATGAACGTTATGTGTCCAATGAAATCTATGTGATTTCTCATATAGAATTTCAAATGCTATGTGATATTCAGGTAAAAATCATTGTTTTTGTTTTTGGAAAAATACCTCGAAAAATACTATGTGCGTTCCTAATAAAAACTAAATGAAAACTTTTTTCAGTGTAATTATCGACATGAAAAATGTCATCAAAATCCCCTTCTAACTACTCAATCTGAACAAAGTACACAGAAAAAAAAGTTGTTGAATATTACATCCAAACTGCTGCAACCAGGTCAATCCATCGGTTGTGTAATATAACGTTGTACGATGTACATCGATTTTGCGAACAAAATTACATCCATTGATGTAATATTGTATCTGCTTTTTGATATCACATCATTATTTCATACATCAGCTTGAATTACATTGATCGATATTCCTTTTTTTTGCTGTGTACAGCTGAAAATATGTTATTTTAATCCGACAAAGGACTCCATCCAGGAAATTTTATACAAGTCCCACCACAGTTGATATGTTGATCCATTGAGTGCACCGACTACGAATCTGGCTACTACGCCAATACATGATGATAAGCATGAATAGTTATATTCCATTTTCATTAGTATTGTGGATCTTAGTCCGTTTAATCTAACCTAGTGACTGAGTTACATTGAATGGTAAAGTGAGGAGAGCCGTTCAACCAAAAAAATTAAATATGTCAAAACTCCAAGCATTTGCTAAATTTATACACAGGATCTTTAGTTCAAGATTTCCAACTTTTCTCTTAGCGACTTTATGAATTTACAGGGGGTTATTCCGAGAGTCGAAGTGACTTTTGTCACTAGTGAAGTGAGAAAAGTCACGTCGTGGTGACGTGACTCTTCATTTGATTTGCACAGAGAGTCACGTCACCACGACGTGACTTTTCTCACTTCACTAGTGACAAAAGTCACTTCGACTTTCGGAATAACCCCCACAGTTCAATCGTATCTGGAACGAATTTTCTGAGGAGTGCCCACAACGAATTGTTGAGTACAACCGTAGGGAACGAGTTTAATTCACCAATGCGGCAAATGCATACAAACTCAATGGCAGTTTTCGAGAAGTAGTTTTACCACAGAAAATCTTTGAATGCTCACCTGTTGAAATATTAAGTTTTATTTTTCGAAATTTTTGAAAATGTCGAACATTTGCTCTACCTATAGCCACATTCAGAGCAACAAATTATCAGTGGCTAAATTTGAGATGAAAATGGACAATACATACTATACGACCATCACAAGTAAATTTCCAGTTTTATTGAAGATTTAAAATATAGTTCAAGTTCAAATCATGGTTTACAGGAGTATGATAAAACAAAAAAAAAATACTTGGGATCAAACCCTCAGACTTTAATAATTTACTTTGAAAAGTGTCTGAATTGTATTGGTTTACTCTAATTTTTAAATATTCTTGAACAAATTGGGAAAAAGAGCAAAAACAATATGATACAAACATATTTTAAAGCCCACAGACGCAGTTTCCGAGCAAATATAATTTAAAAAACCAAGTTAACATTCAAAGTTTATTGAATACAGTCAACTCTCCACAACTCGATGTCCACTAACACGATATCGAGTAATAGAACCTTAGTTAAAATTTAGTTCATGGCTGCTGTGATGGTGATTTCTTTTGGTGTTTTTTTTTATAATTTGATAATTCTATAACTCGATGGTCCCTTTGATATCGGCTTGCAGGGTTCACGTTATACTTAATATAAAATTAATATAATTTTATAGAAATAATGAACAAATATTTGAGAGAAACTCTCCACAACTCGATATCCAATAACTCAATATCGAGTTTTAGAACCATAGTTTAAATTAATTTCAAGGCTTCTAAATCTGTCAAACGTAGACGGACCCGGTGTAGTGGTTAGAATCCATGCCGCTCACGCTTAAGGTCACGAGTTAAAATCTCGTTCCCGGGACAATTCACGAATGACGTAAAATGAGTTATAGCACTTATGCTACTAAAAACTCTGGCACTCAATAAAATTTAATTTAATATTTAATATAATATATTAAATCATCATTCTATCCAACTGTGCACGGTATTGAGAAACAAATATATTCGATTCGAAACGGTTTGCCTTCGTCGAAACGACGACGTCGATCTCAAAGCTGGCCAAATGGCTCTCAAATTTCAGTATGCAACAAACTCGCCTCTCGCTGATACAGCACAGGAGGTAACATAGCCATATATCTTCATAGGTTTCGTTCCTTGCTCTGCACAAGTGTGTATATTTTCTCAGAGAGCACGAATCTTTCTTGCGACTATCAGATTATCTGTCTGTATTTATGCCCAGTACTCGGTGTGGACCGACTGTGGCTGTTCTTGAGGCATTTTACGTGTTTCTCTGTGTGCGAGCACAGCCATGGCAGTCTTTTTAACGGTGTGTACGTTTTATTTTGTTTAATATTTGTACAGATATATTTTTTCTTCATTCGGTCAGCGACCGTTCGTGTAGTAACATAGTAAGTCGTGTGTCCGTACGCGTTTGAGATTTCCTTCCCTTTTGGAGGGCAGTAAAAAACGTACGAAAACGTCCGTCGTGTGTATTCCACGAGAGCGCAGTGTTTTTCCTCTCACGCGACCGTTCGGTGCATACAGAATTGCATACCTAGCAATATCCGTACGGTTTCTTCCGCTTTTCCGCGTGTCCTCGCGCAAGTTGAGTGATTACTTCGAGGATCCGGAACTACCGGAAAGTGAGTGCAACACGTTGAGCAAGTGCCAAGGCAAATGATGCAGCGTGCAGATCAATCAAATTTCATGACATACTTGGATTTCATCACGATCTTGTGTACAGTGCCAGTTTGAGAAAGTGACATAACTCAAATAAAAAGAAGTGTGGATCATCAACGGTTTTAACCAAGTGGTGCTAGAAAATTTCACATCAGCTGCAGCTATTGATGGGCATTTACTGTTGATCAAACACAATACATCGTCCTGGATTAAAAATATACACCGATACTTCGAACGAGCTATATATACGCACATGTATTGTATAGTAAACAGTGGTGTAATCAAAGATAGATCGTTGAATAACAAATGAGGAAGAAATACATATAATGATTGATGGAATGAGATTTAAGTGAATCATTTGTGTAACAGTGCATTGCAGACGTGAAGGTGATTATCTATGATGAAGAAATACACAGTTATTATTTGATTCTTGAGAAGGTTTGATTAAGGATGACTGCTTGATGTGGATTTAAATCAGAACGTAGTGGTTTTTCGCGGAATCAATGTTCTCATGCTTGGCTGCATTGTTTCAATAGGTTTGATCGTTGGCGTAACCTGCTTTTGAAATACACCTAACCTAATTAAAGTGATGCTGGTTCTGACAGCCATTTCATGTTGTGCGTCCTATTTACGCGATATGACAGATAACACCAATAACACAGCGGTGAATCTAGTGGAGTGGAAAGGGAGATCGGACCATACGTCTCTTTTATAAAAATCTCTTATTGATTCCAGTTCAGCATAATAAAATACAGTCAATTCTCCCTAACTCGATGAAAATTCACACTGCTTCAACCAATTATCCTATACTAATTTCCTAAATTTACCTCCGTAGCTCGATATCCTTCTTAACTCGATTAACTTTTCACTATCAAGTTAGGAAGAGTTGACTGTTGTTCTGGTATTAGGACATATGTCAAATAATATCGGCCCCCTTCGTAGATTTGTAAGTACGGATCTCAATGTTCATGAGCTATAGACAGCTAAACTTAACATCAGATTTTGTTTGTATATCATTAGCAAACAATCGGGCACACAGCTTACGATCTGCTAAACTTTTGATCCGGATCTCGCTGCAATCGAATAAATTGATCATGCGACACATCAAAACACATCCATTTGATGCTCATAGATCGATCCTGTGTATATCTGCTGATTATTTGTGTCTAATGACCGAACCCGGATTCGAATACCGGTTCCCCATAAAAATGATCATGCGACATCGACAAAGATCCATTGAGTGAATATAATGCCATTTTACTAATTTTTCATGGCAAGTGACGTATCCGAATGTTCCAAATAATTAGGTGACTAGTCACGAAAAATTAAGAATATGGCATTATATTCACCGAATAGATTTATATTTACGCATCAGCTGGACGCGTTTTGATGTGTTGCATGATCATTTTTCATGAGAAAGTAAATCGTGGCCTTCGGAACCATTATCCGGAGTACTAGATTTGGTCAATGCCCACTAGAAATTTGCAATACGGCATAATTTTCATAGAATCGATCATTATTCATCGGTTTGATGGGATTGATGTGATTCATGATAATATTTATGTGAAAGTCAATTGTGGCCTCCGCAACCGATATCCGTAACATCCGGATGCCCATAAGGAATTAACAAAATGACATTATATTCATAGCGTCAATCAATATGCATGTGTTTTGATGGGCCTCATGATAATGTCGATTGTGCTCTCCGCAACTTGTATCCGAAAATATCCGGGATATGTCACTGGCCACGAGTAAACAGAATGTCGACCAAATATTCGAAGATTCGTTTCATACGCATCAATTTGATGTATTTTACTGTGTCGCACGGCCACATTACGAAGATAAATTATTTTAGTGAGCGGAACCGGTATCCGCAACATCCGGGTTAGCTAACATGAAGCAAGAAACCATCAATTGTCCACAGTAATGTATTGGTTTCATTATGTTGATGCACCTAGGCTCCTTGTGACCAATCGTATCAAAATCGATTCTATTTTAGACTCATTAAATGACATTTGATTTTCTTTGAATATGATGTTACATTTGTTAATACATTTTAAGTGATTTTGCCTACACTCAAGAAAGTCCCCACGTTTGATCGAAGTGTTTAAAAACAATGTGTTTTACACGTTGATGTCGTTGATGTGTTTTGCATTTCAATGCGATGTGAATTGCCTGTTCTGCGAAAACTAGAGTTGTGACTTCATCCTTATATCAACTAGTCTCATATAGGGCCTGGTGGGGCAAGAGTGGCTACTCCTATGGGGCATAAGGGACGTGCGTCTGTGAAATTGAATAATTATTGTATATAAACGAAGGTTCTTGATTATTAATCAATCAATCAATCAACGGCAGTTATTGTTTACTTTATTTAACTATTGAATTTTACAATATTATTCAATACATAACAAATATACCATGTTTATCAATGAACTAAAATGAAAACTATTGTTGATGATATTTTATGTAGCAGGTTGTGCCAAATTTGGTGAAAACAAGCTTACCAAAGACTTAAATGTTGAACGAAGCAATATCTTTGAAATTTTTGTATTGTTTTATTCATAAATGTAGAGGTGGCCCTCTTGTCCCGTGTGAGGTTAATTTTTAAGAAGTTTTTTTTTTTGTCCAATTAAATTGGGGGTGGCAGTCCCCTCCTGACCCTATGAGAACAATCGTGGTCCATTGAGCTAGAACGAAGACAATGGCAGTAGCACACCATAACAGTTAAGGATCGAATCCCAAACCAGACCCATTAAAAAAGGCATGTGAAAGTTCTGCCCCCTGGTAGCTTTGTTTATATATTTATTGATTCATTTTTGAAATCCGTAAAGCAGAAGTCGATAAAGTAGAATATTGTAAACATTGAACTATTATGTGCAAAGCTATTGATATTACCATGTGAAGCGCATCCAAATGTGTTACAATGTTAATGTTGAGGCAATAATGATTCGCACATGAAATGGATGTGTTTCGCAATAAGTGCAAAATTAAGTGTGATGACGTTTGGAAATTTTTGAGAGTAGTTGCTGTTCATTTTTGAAATTTATTTCATTTTGCATAGATATTATTTTTTCACGGTTTTCTTTTCCTCTGTTCGAGATCTAACACTACTGCGACCAGTAATTTGATCTATTTTAGTATATCCCGTGTCCTTAGTTTATTGCATGTCGTTTTACTCCATCACTTTTGAGAAATGATGAAGTATTAGATATTTTTTACAATTGTCATTCTTGCATTTATCGCAAGGATCCAACTCTAATTGAAAGGTCCCGCTATTTATATCCTTCGGAGTGTTGAAACACCCTCCAAAGGCGCGCCCCTCTGTTAGTCAAAATTGGATTCCTTAACAACAATGACACCGATGATGACCATACATCAGAACCCTAGTCTTAACAACGAAAAGAAGATTAGGAATCACATAGAAAAAAACTAACTAACTCATTTTTTCCTTGTTTCAAGATCATCCTCGGTGGACAAAGCCGAGTCTTGTCACTATCAACAAGGCATAAAAAGTCACAAGGACTAAGATGTGTTCCTTGGATTACTGAAAAATCCTGTTCCCCTAGTTTGAAGTAGTGAGGACTACACTCATAAAATAAATCACATAACCAGTGGAAAATATCCATGTGAATTTCACATAACTTTCACGGGATCCCATAATTGGAAATTGCATTATTAAATCACATGAACGTTATGTGTCCAATGAAATCTATATGATTTCTCATATAGAATTTCTAATGCTATGTTATATTCAGGTAAAAATCATTGTTTTTGTTTTTGGAAAAATTCTATGTGCGTTCCTAATAGAAACTAAGTGAAAACATTTTTCAGTGTAGGAATCGGTAGTAGATCTTACATCTCGTAACGTACCGTAAAACGGGGTAACATTGATAGTTTTTTTTATGTATATTCTAAATATTTTTTACATCTTTTTTTTTTTATTTCTTTATTAAAGAGACTTTCATCCGTAGGCTGGTTCGTCTCTGAAAAATAATATATGAAAATACAGTTAATTCAAATTCATTTTTTTTTCACTTTCTTCCTAGCTGCTTATTTTTGCTCCTCATCTTGACTGGTGAGTCCGGAACTGACAATTCGTCTTCTTTTTCTTTCATCGAATTTTCATTTCCTGCTGATTCATCATTCTGGCAACCCTGGTTCGTAACATATCGTTTCGCATTGTTGTGTTTTTGTTTCGTTGACAGCCTTCGTTTGTTGGTTGTTATGCTTCTCAATTTTTTTAAAATAAATGCTGAGGATCCTAGAGTCAATTCGTTAGTAATATGTTTAACGAACACTATTTTTTTAGTCTTGTGACCGAACATCAGTATTTTGATTTGGGGTTACTTTGATAATGCTCGATGAATGTAGAAAAACATGTGTGAATCTCAAACAATTTAGTTCAAGAATTTGAACGAGTATATCAGGCATAGCATTTGATACCGACACAAAAGCATTTGTAAACAAACATTCTATTTTCCCTTGATATCGCATATAATTTTTATATAGTTTGTGATACATGTTTGCCAAACATATTGAAAAACAATTTTCTTACTTTTAGCCTGTTTGAAAAAAGCACTCAAACCATCACTTATGAAATATATTTCTGATATAGCCATCACAAATTAAATGTTGACTTATTATTGCTTATGATGTTTCTGATTATATCACGCATAACATTTGATAATGGCACAAAACCATTTGTAAACAAACTTTCTAAGGCCCTTTACAAGCGAACCAAAGTAGGCCCACGCAAACCAACAACATCATCGGATAGGAGCAACTATCAACTTTCCGAAAGTGGTATTGGTTTGCGTGGGCCTACTTTGGTTCGCTTGTAAAGGGCCTTAAATCGAACCGTGCTAAAATCGATCGGTTTTGTTTTGAAATTAAATTTATAATTTCGTTGATTTTGGACCACCGTAATTCATCTTTATGACAAAGCTTCAATATATGTGATTGAGCACAAAACTCCCAAACTGGGAACCCGTACTCAACAATCTTAAAGAGAGCAAGCTTGTTCTTCAGGCTCAGTTTTGATTTTCGATTGATGAGCGGGTTCAATTACTTGATCAGCACATGATACCGTATTGATGGCTAATGTAAGTGCGAGATATGTTTACTACATCGCTCGACCATTCGATAACAGTCCCTCCCAAACGACCCTCACATCATTAGGCAGAATCATTCTATCATAGCAGGCCCTGTTGTAGATTGTTTGAGAGTGCTTTGATCATACGACCCTTGTGAATGATAGCAGTGTCGTCTGCGAAAAGATACAGCTTGCCCCCATCAGGAAGAGCGGGGATATCGGAGATGAAGAAGTTGAACAAGATAGGACCGCGGATGCTGCCCTGAGGCATCCCGGCATCAATATCGAATGTATTAAAACATATGTTGTAAAGGGAGACCTGGAGTACATGTATGGGACGAAGGGTCATGATTCAAAATTACGATAAATTTGTCCTAATAAATTATTATTTCAAGTATTGCGTAAAATCTTTGATATGCTCTTCAGACAACTTTTCCAAGCGTTATCCGCAATAAATTCAAACGAGAATCCAGAAAAAAAATGTACTGACACAAACGACCACTGAAGAATCTTTCAACTTGCTTCTTAGGTCTCCCGTTCCAACTAATTACCCGTGCGATGGCTGTAACATTTCTTTTATTTCTTTTTCACTTTCAGGAACTTCGACAGCTTCAAGTAGTTTGGTTCACGCATTAGTGGACACATAATAAAGATTATACAAATCAACACTATTTATTGAAAGTGAAAATTTAACGCGCAAATATACCCTACAGTTTTATTTATTCTGCAACTCTATAATGTACTGAAAATGCAGCCTAGTGACAATGCCTTCTCACTCACTCCAACGCACCAGAAAGTAGTTCACGAAAACAGCTGAAAATAAAAGAAATCCAAATTAACCTAGAATAATAAAGTGACGTACAAAACAAGACCGGTAACACGAGACGAGAGAGAAGAAATAAAAGTGAGAAAAAAAGTTTTCGTAAAAAAGGAGGAAAAAAATCTGCTCTCTTCCTGGTTTGTGCAACCGGAGAAAATAACATCACCAGCACCAACAACGACAGTGTGGCAACTCATCTGAGCGTTATTGTGTGCTCTCTGTGTGGTGACTTCAACGCCAGTGTTGAAAGTTAATCGTGCATAAAAAGAAAATAAGTAATTATCCTTTTAAATAAGAAAATTGAGGCAAAAAAGGAGAGGCATACAGGAAAAAGAAAGATGCTCAGCCAAGTTGAAAATTGGGAAAAAGAAGAGAAGAAAATAATCGATGTGCTACAATTATAAGTGAGATAATTCCGTTGTTTTCTTTCTCTCGTATTTCTCTCTGCTTGCTTGGTACACCCGCCCCGGTCGGATCCACCCCCGACTGTTGCTGGCACATCAACAAACTACTATTCGGACGACTGCTACTACCACTTTTCGGCCCACCATTGTTGTCGTAACAACGGACGATTTTTTCTGTGTGCCGTTACCATGGAGACTAGTTATAACAGTGGAAACGGAGAATTCGACGTAAATATGTTCGATCAGTACATTTACAAGGTAAGTGTTGTTTGTTCATGGTTGTTTTTTATTTGGTTGTGATTTCCGTGTTTTTGACTTATGTCACTCTCGTGCCACGGCATGCTGGAGCATATTCTTCCGTTAGAGCATAGGTTTCAGTGTTTATGCGTATGTTTTAAAGTAACATGTGATTTGAGGAGCAATCAAGTACAGATCCTAAAAAAAACAATTGCACAGCGTGTAATGCTAATAATGCATAGCTTTGGGTACGAACGTATCGGCAACGTACCAAAATTATTTTGTTGCGTTTGAGCAATTATCGTTTTTTTTTATTTGTATGACGTTTATGTATTCACCCTTTGTAAAAAATATAAAAAATCAGCAATTAATTTAAAGTAAATTACAAAATTAATTTTAGTTCCGTAAAGCTTCAACAGTTGAGCCTTGACAAATAAGCAATATGATGAAAAATTACATCAATCGGAACGAAGTATAAGTAAATATAAGTGCAAAAATAAGTTGTTGGCTGATCAGTATTTTACAGTAGTTAAATCTTGTCTGTAATTGGCTGCATTCGCTTTACATAACACTTATTGAATACCCTCGGAGCAGTTATTGAATACCCTGGATTGCGTACACTCAATTTAGATGTTCTTTGGAATTTTATATTGCAAAGAATTGAACATTTATCTGTACTTTTTCCAGGATTCTGTAGAGGTACCCTGGAATTCTACTTGATTCACCCTAAGATTCGCCTTAAAAGATTGACAGTTTGTCGTGAGATCGAATCATCAAATTTTATTACCTTTGCATATAAAAAAAATATTCCGTCTCCGACTCCTTAAAAAGAAAGCTGCCGACTCCGACTACGAGACAGTATATCTACAGAAAATGAATGACAGCTGTAACTTTTTAACCATGACACCAAATCATTTGAAATTCTAGAGAGTACTTGCCTTTTGCCTCAAAGTCTAAAAAAAAAGCTGAATGTATATGCTGTTCAATATAATAATAAATGGTTGAATCTGATCAAACCTCATGAGGGATGATCCACCGGGCGTTGCTTCTAGACTGGTTTTGATCACTTATCTGGGAGCATCTAGAACATTTCTGGATTGTGTACTACCGCCCTGAGCATTCAATAAAATCGGTTTTTTTACCTCATTATAGATTTTGATATGAATCAAAAGTACAAACTATTTTCCCGAGGATACCAGAAACATGTTCTGATGTGACCGAAAGGTCCTGGGTACTCAATATGAACACCAGGTATCACGTTTCCAAAGTTCCGCTGATTTTAACAAGATAATAACTGAATTCAGAAGCTCTGCCTTTAACATATCAAGTTATAGAATCAAATTATCACTACATAGAACATCCACCAAAGGAGGCATCGACTTGTTGAAATATCGACTTATGGAGAGTGAGACTTAGAGAAATGAAGGGACCGCTTAAACCAGTGATGAAAAGTTTTACTTTTAATTTGCACAAAGAACCATATGGGGCTTAGAACTAGCAATCCATTCTCAGTTTGCACAATCCGGTGAATCAATACTTTCAAGGTCAATGATACCACAAAGACAGACCAGCTGGGAGCCCGGCCACGCAATGACGCGAAGGAGCTGCGTTCTTCATGCGTGACGGTTGAACCTGATGTAGGACGAACTGTCAACGATGACAAAAGGAACGACGAACAATGATATACAGGCAGACGCCAATGAAACTATTAATATAACGTGTTCTAAGAAAAAAATATGAATTTACTAGTGAAATTTGCTAACTAAAATTGTTGGCTACTGGAATTGAAATATTATCGGTTTATTGCAGCTAAATAGAAATTTGAAAAGATTACAGGTCCTCGATCAAGCCGAACGATCGTAAGATTATTTCTCGGAGATTTGTATTTTCGTAGGTAAAGTTGAGTTAGATATTAACGTAATAATATTACCCACTACTAACTGAATATGTTTAGGCCCAGTACCATCGATAAAGCAGAGTTGAAGTGAGCAGTGGATTATATATTCGAGTAATTGGCCTACGATAGTAGGGGGAGTAAGGTTATGGAGGAAACTAACAGTTCATTAATTATGTTACACCTATTTTAGTTTTGAAGCAATTAATAATAAAGCTGTCGAAAGTCACAACAAGTTCAAACGGATACCCTGCTCTCTCTCTCCTAACAGTCAATAACTACGAGAGAAAAAATTGTTTGTTCGACACCCGTTGATACTAGACGCCGAGAACACCTGCATCTCCATGTTTTTTGTTAGTAGGAAGGGTGAATGAGATCTGGATTCACTTTTTTTTTCCTTGATTTGTTTGCCATCGATCTTGTTTTCCGTACTGAGTACCAATGCTACCGACGCCAGGGTGGCAGTTTCCACACCTGAACCCTACCTATCGACCCATAAACCCATGGGTCGGGGATAAACGGCTTTACTTCCCTTCCGAAGGAAGGCGTGATCAGAGATGTTATGCCTCAGAACATCCCGGCGGTGCCGACCTAACGCCGGATTGAACCCAGGCCCGTTGGGGTGAGAGGCAATCACGCTTACCACTGCACCACCGGCACAGCTAAGTGATGCTGGAAATTGATGCGACCTCTTATAGTATGGTAAGCACATAATGCAAGTCTATCACCTCAGTAATGTAAAGGGGCTTGGGTTCTTATTTATTTATTTATTTGTCTGCATCAACAGGCTGTGTAAAGCCCCAATGATGATTTAAGTAACTTATATAGGTAAAAATCAAATCAAAAAATAAAAACTAAGAATAAAATACATAAATAAAACACACAATCATTCACGGTTAACTGTGCCAGAAAAGAACGATGAGAAGTATCTTCGTAGCAGCTGTCGAGGCATATGGAAATCGAAGATGCCCGAGACTCGATTGAACACTCGTTGCAGCCCACCTATTGCACCGTTCATGCCATAGTTTGTGCGCTGAAGTGGCAATCTCAGCATAACGTTGTTACGTAGCGCACGGGGTTGGACGTTAATGTTGACTTGCCCCAAGATTGCACTGCAATCAATTCTACCTTGTAAAGTGTCCGCAATGAACAGGGCCCTAGAGGTGTCTCTTCTAGTTCGGAGAGGCTCCAGATCAATCAGCTGGCAACGACTTTCATAGCTGGGCAGATGAAATGGGTCTCTCCAAGGCAGCTTCCGCAGAGCGAATCGAAGAAAACGGCGTTGAACGGACTCAACTCTCTCAGCACCATTGTTGTAGTTTGGACTCCAGACCACAGAACAATATTCCAGAATGGATCGCACTAAGGAACAGTACAGTGACTTCAAACAGTAGATATCGGAGAAATTCTTTGCTATCCTGAAGATAAATCCCAACGTCCTAGACGCCTTGTCGATAACGTACGAGATGTGCTGCTTGTACGTAAGTTGAGAATCTAGAATAACACCCAGATCTTTCACATGGTTCACACGGTCGATTACAGTGCCGATAAGTTTGTATTCAAATGTGATTGGTTCTTTCTTCCGAGCAAAAGTGATCACTGAACACTTAGTGGGGTTAACCACCATTCGGTTCAAATTACACCAGCTGGCAAAGGCTTCGAACTGACGTTGAAGGAAGTGACAGTCATCAATCGAGTGGATTCGTAGGTAGATTTTAAGATCGTCTGCATACGATAGTCGTGGGCCTTCGATGACCAAGTTCACGTCATTGAAGTAGAGTAAGAAAATCAAAGGTCCCAGGTGACTTCCTTGAGGTATTCCTGACGTAGCTAGATATATATTGGACCGGTTGTCACCAATGGCAACCATCAGTTGCCGATCAGTGAGATATGAACGAAACCATCGCAAGAGGTTGCCGCTGACCCCAAGTCTATGCAACTTTGCAATCGCGATGGCATGATTTAGCTTATCGAAGGCAGCTGACAAGTCGGTGTATATGACGTCTGTTTGAGTCCTCTCTGCCATGCTTTCCGTAAGATACGATGTCAAACACAGCAGATTTGTGGAAGTAGAACGACCGGAAGTGAAGCCGTGTTGATCACCACTTAGATACTGCTTACAATGAGAGAGTAGAGGCTCCATGATGACTAACTCGAATAACTTCGAAACTGCGCTCAACGACGTAATTCCACGATAATTGTCCACATCCCGTTTGCTGCCCTTTTTGTGGATAGGAAACATATGTGCGAATTTCCAACAAGATGGAAATGTACCACTCGAGATGGACAATCGAAATAGGTGAAGCATGGGCATCAGCAAGCTGGCGATATGCTTTTTCAGGAATACGGATGGAACGCCATCGGGTCCTGGATTGAAGGACGACTTGAGTTGTGATGCGGCAGTGGAAATCATCTCGACGTTGACATCCATCGCACCCAGTGTTTGACCGTACAGTGGAACATTACTAGCTGCTAGGGTAACGTGTTCGTCAGTTAATCTCTCATTCGTGAAAACTCTGGCGAACTTCTCAGAAAACAAGCGACAGATCTGCTGAGAAGTGGATGCAACTGCTCCATTCAACACCATTGAAGAAGGTAGGCCGGATTCCTTGCGCTGCTCATTTACGTAATTCCAGAATGACTTCGGGTGCGACTTGAGTTTCCTCTGAATCCCTCGTTGATATCGCGAATAGCATCGACGGCTAACTCGCTTGAACTCATAATTGAGCCTAACGTAGTGACGTTTCAGCGAAAGCGTACGATACTTAGTGAATTTTCTTAATGCGGCTCTCTTGGTCGACTTCAACCTACGCAGTTCACTCGTCTGCCAGGGAGGATGAGAAATTTTACGGTGAACTCTTTTCGGAACGTGCCTGTCAATGACATAAGCCAAGACACAATCTTCTGTCCAGTTAGCAAACACGGTCGCTATATAACCACCATGCCCCTTACAACAACCTACGACCAGAGGTAGTAAATGTCACGACCTTTTCGCCCATACATTTTCATAGTGACAACTTTTAGAAAAAAAAATATTTCGTTACCACGTCTGGCTACGACCGACGATTATTCAAGCCCGGGTGTAAGAAGCTATTGAAATGAAATGACGCCCAGCGATCAGAGGAGT